TAGATCGACTCGGCTGTTCATGCTGATCAAGAATATAAATACTTTATAAGGTCGGAGGTGCCTCCTTCACTGCGTTGCAAACTTCTCGCTTAAAATATAATACCCTGCAAGGGTTTACAAATAAAACAAACAAACTCGACAGCGGTGCCTCATAAAATATGTACAGAAATAGTGTTTAAAATTTCAAATGGATCTGTGCAGGAGTTTTGAAGTGAGTAAAAATGTGAGTTGTGGGAAAAAACGCTTTAGGGTTTTAAAAAACAAAAAAAAAGTTTTAACGAAAAAGTATAAAAATACTCTGAAGTTCGTCAATTTTGCTTTAATTAATTTAAAATTATCAGATATTTCACTTTCAATTAAAAAAAAAAACAAATTTGATTCCTGGTCGACCTCGTACTTGAACCTGTGCAGGTACGCCTGTGGTGATGTCCTGTGATGTCGATGTGCTGTGGTGATCTGCGTGGTCTAGTAGTCTAATTGTCCGTGACCTCTCTTCAGTCAAAGAGTTAGGTCGGGGATGATCTTGTACGTGCTTCGCTTTGTTCTTGCGTTGTCCCATCTCACTGTGTTCAACAAGCCAAAGTCCGATGTCTGTAAGCCAGGACATCATCATGTCGATTGGAAAGCTGGAATTGGCGGAGACGTCGGCCAGCGAACCTCACTCGACGCAGCCATCAGCAGTGCAAACCGCAAAATCCTTTCGTACATTATGTTCCACAGGATTGGCCCAAGAACAGAGCCCTAGGGTACACCTCCAGTCACGTGGTGTACCTGGTTGTACCTGGTTACCTGGTTGTACCTGGCCTTCGTCGGATGTGTTTATGAGGACTCGGTTTTTGAAGTATTCGGCCATCAGGAGGGTTAGGTTCCCAGAAATGCCACCGCGCTGGAGTGCCTGCAGGATTAGGCTCCACTTTGCCGAATTGAATGCGTTTTTGACGCCAAGGGTGCTTTTCTGCCATCTTTCACCTTAGATCGCGTTTGCCGTCTCGCGAATCACGTCGATCATACTCCGCTTCTTCATGAAGCCGTTTTGATTGGGCTCCTCTCTCTTCGATTTCTCTCTCCATTTTTGGGCAGATGATGCGCTCGAATATCCTCCCCAATGTGTTGAGAATGCAGGGGGGGCGATATGAGGACGGGTCGTCATTCCCCTTGCCTGGTTTCGGGATGAGAACTAGCCTTTGTTCCTTCCAAACTTTCGGGAAGGTATTCTCCATGATTTACCTGTTGTATACCCATGCAAACAAACTCGGGAAGGCCTTTAATATTTATTTATTTATTTATTTATATAAAAGAAAATAGCAATGACCTGTCATTCTTAAAATTATATTGTACCCTTACCTCTGCACAACAAAAGGGAGTGTTTTTTAACGATGTGCTCCGACTCACATCAGGTTGGTAGAGGTAAGGATAGGTAACTTAACAGATTTTGGACATTTAACTCGTAGGACAATTCAACATGTAACAGAAAATAGTACTTATTGTACATGGAACATAGAACACGGAAAAGATCATGCTAGTCATTATTCGTCTTACAAACATTAAGGGCTATTGGACGAAAATGACGAGAAGGCCTTACAGGGACTGCGAGACGTAATTTGCTTAATAAATACGTGGAGCAAATTTGACCATTGAGTAGCTTAAGTATAAAGATAGCGCCGTAGCAGGTTCGACGATCCTTTAGGGTGGGGAGGCTTAAAAGTCTTAGCCTGTCGGCATACGATGGAAGATGGCGATGTGGATCCCAGTGTAATCCAAGTAGAGCGAACAAAAGGAATTGTTTCTGAACAGATTCAACAAGGTCTTGATACTTTGCATATTGAGGTGACCACACACACGAACAATATTCAAGAATAGGGCGAACGAGTGAGATATAAAGAAGTTTTGATGTGTAAGGATCATCAAACTCCTTTGACCATCGCTTAACCAAAGCGAAAACCCCTCGAGCTTTACTAATAATTAGACCAATGTGGTCATTAAAATTACGGGTGTGGTTAAATAGGACTCGGAGATCTGTTATCGTATAAATGCGTTCAAGATCGCACGCACCTATAGAGTAATTGGCGAGCAGGCAATTCTTCCGGTAAAATGCCATAAATTTGCATTTGGAGTTGTTGAGAAAGAGGAGATTATTAAAGCACCAGGATTGCATGTTATTAAGGTCAGTTTGCAAAAGGTTGTGTGAATGAGAGTTCGTCAATGGCAAACAAAGTTTGACGTCATCTGCGTACATCATCACACTTGAGTGTAGAACCACTTCAGGCAAGTCATTGATAAAGAGGCCGAACAGAAGTGGCCCAAGGTGGCTCCCTTGAGAAACGCCAGAAGTAACAAAAACCCGGTTTGAGAGAGAGCGCTTAAAGGCAACACGTTGACTACGGTTGGATAAATATGTTGCAATCCAGTTAGTCAATAAAGCAGGGAAACCAAGAAGCGTAAGTTTTCTAAGTAATAGTAGGTGATTTACCGAGTCAAAAGCCTTGCTGAAATCGGTGAAGATAACGTCTGTTTGAAAATTTAATTTGAAACCGTTTCTAATGACAGCACAAAATTCTAGAAGGTTAGTAGACGTTGATCTGTTTTTCATAAAGCCGTGCTGAGAGGGGGACATAATTGATCGACATTGGTGCTGCAGCTGCGCAGTAATCAGAAGTTCGAATAACTTTGGAATAGCACTGAGCTTTGCAATTCCTCTGTAGTTTTCGATATTAGATTTACTGCCCTTTTTATGGAGAGGAATGATGAAAGATTCCTTCCAACTTTCTGGGAAAAATGAAAGACGAAGCGACATCTGAAAAAGAATTGACAGAGGTCGGCATAAAGCACCAGCACAGAGTCTCAAAACACAGCTAGGAACGCGATCAGGACCAGAAGAAAAGGAAGGTTTTAGTGTCTTGAGGTTCTGAAAAACATCGTCTTCGCAAATAGCGGGTATGAAAATGGAATTAGAAAGTGGAAGAGAATAAGGATACGAAGAGGTTGTATTGTAGCCAATGGATGAGTACGTAGACCGGAAAAATTTTGCGAACAGGTTCGCTATATCAGGCTCGTTAGACGCAGACTCAGTACTGAGATGAAGACAAGAAGGAACATTTTGGGATCTTCGTTTTGAATTTACAAACGCGTAAAGTTGCTTAGGATTAGCCTGGAACTCATCCCTACACCGATTTAGGTGGTTTCTGTAGCATTCAGAATTGTGGGCTAAGAATTTTGTGCGAGCTGTCAAGTATCTAGAAAGGTCCACCTGTGACCCAGTCCTAGTGAATATCTTGTGAAGCCTCGACTTCAAGTTTTTAAGGTAAGATAGTCGACGAGAAAACCATGGGGGCTTGTAAGACGCATCAGGTGAAGGAAAGGATGGGACATAAATGTCAAAGGCAGAATATAAAATATCTGAACTGAAGTTTATTCTGAATATATTGTAAAATATTAGTGCTCCGAACAGGTTCCGAATAATCTGCAAATATATTATCTATGTCTTGTGCATGTGCATCGAGCGCTGTTTTCTTTGCAATCCATGTTTATGCACTTATTAAAAAATACTGCACTCATCTGCACAGTTGTACACAGTTAACTAACAACCTATATAGCTGCTTAAAAAGAGACAAATATAGTACTCACGAAGAGTACAACCATATACTGTTCTCACTCGGAGTTAGAACACTGAAAATGTTGTGCTATCTTCTTCTGGCCTATAGAGAATACTGTACAGTAAAGAATGAGTGCAGTATTTTAAGAACACTACCCTACTTTACAGAACTGTTGTGCTGCAAATGAGTACATTCATGCAGAAGTCTATTAGATACCATAACTAATATTTCCATTTTGTTTGGTTAAAATAAAAAAAATCCGGAAAGTTTTAAATTTATGTGTAGTTTTCCGATTTTTTTTTGGTCCACAGCCAACTGATCGGCTAATGAATTTTGCAGCTCTGGTATAAGCCCATATTTATATAACAGCATTGGTTTGCATTTAGTTGGACAATCTACTTTCAGAATAGATAGGCCATATACATTAATTTTGTCAACAATTTTTTTGATTTAACGCAACAAGATCGGTCGTTCCGGCTACTGCACTGAGACCCGGGTCGGAATCTCTTGCAACAACCCCACCTGAACCAAATACAATTCATCCCTGAGCCTCCTGAGCACTGACAGTTTATCACAACCTCACAACACAACAATGTAAAAACAACTTAATTTTTATTAACTACTCCTAAATAACATTTTTTGCATTACTTGACAGAAGATTACAACAAGCCAACTCACTCTCTGCCAAAAATAGAAGTGTACCTTTTTTGAGTTTTATTTACGATTTTTTCGTTAAACGAACTCATAGTAAACTCCTTATCAATTCGCATTTCCAACTGATGCAATTTTACTTAACACTCTCATGCATTGTTACCAGTTCTTTAATTAACCATTCCATTTATTTATTTTATACCGTTGGAAGTCGTTTTTTGATTCGATGTATGGCCAGTATTAAGAGTGTCATCACTGGGCATATCTTTAACAGGAAACTATCCAAAACTGCTGATTCTCTGATATTTCAGGAATAACTGCACCCATACTTTGACAACCATCTTTCTTAAAAAAAAGTGAAAAGCTAAAAGTTTAGTTCTCTTTTGAGATGTTAGGTTCTCGCTCAGTTCGATGTTTTCTTATTTGGCTTCTGAATTTACTGTTGAATGATATAAACTAGAGAAATCGCAAATGAACACAGACTCTGTGCTCCGCAATTAAACTAACGGACTCCGCCGAGATGCAGTCGTGGCCAATACAAAAAGAAACTGTGAAATTAAATGGAATAAAAAACATAAAAAAAGATGGTAGTTTATAAAAATAATTTAACGCAAAGAAAAATCGAAAAGAAAACATGTGAAAATAATATGTATACGTTTTAATGGTAGCAACATTTTATATATCAGCAACAGGCAAAAAGTTACAACTATTTTATTCTACAAATTATTAATTTGATTGATTTGATTGATTATTAATTGATTCTCAATTAATATTAACACGATTAGTATAGAAGATTTTTCCATTATTGTAGGTTTAATCCAGTGCTTCCGATCCAGTCTTTGGTAAAAGCCAACATAAGAACGCACATACTAAATAAAAAATATATTGACTTCTTAATTTTACGCGATAATTAGTATTTTACTTACAAAATAACATTCCCGAAAAGAGAATAAGTGGAATAGTGCAATTGTAGTCAATAAGAAATCCGAATATTAAGTTTCCAAGTAGCGCTCCTCCCCGTCCAAATGTTAGAGACATTGCGGCAGCCATTACTCTAAATAAATAATTATATATTTATTATTTAAGTAATCAAATAGTTGGTCTATTACTGTTTAACTCTATTTATGTATTCACAACGGACTTATATACTTATAGTACAACAAAATTAAACGATTGAATAAGGTTTTTGTCAAGTCTGTTTTTATTTACTCACTTATATTAGTCAAAAATCAATGGCCGTCAGCCGATAGGGTGCACAGGGGGATAAACGGATGACTGCGTCATCTGCCGTAACTGTGTACACCATCGGTAGTGCGACTATACTCTCCAAGAGAGGGCGGCTGGAAGCAGGTCCCCAGGGGGATGCTGATCAATTGTAGTCGGGCGGACCTAGGCAGTCTTTAATCAGCCTCCCCTCAAGTCAGGTGTGTGATGCGACCCGTGCACACTGACTTTCAGGTTCGCAGCTGAGGGGTAAAGCCAGCTGTGTCTGCACGGAGCCTTCCCAGGGCCAGGCAACCGTGGGTCGTAAGTGGCCTTGCCGCAGTTTTGGGGCGAAGCTGCGGTCGACCTTCTTCAAAGCCCCAAACCCCCTCTGGCCCGCTGCGCTTGCCAGGTCGAGCAAAGCGGGCGTTCATGTATTGTAATGACTTCCAAAAACCGAGCTTCGAAACTCCCGGAGAGGATAAACCCCAAACAATGTCAACGAAGGACGAGAAGGAGCAGAGGCCGAGACTGGTCGCTGCATCTCACATTGCATCGGAGACCGACGGAGAAGAGTCGCAATCCGAGGGGAGAGCGAGTAGCACTCCCCAATCGAAACACACAGGGGGGCTCAGATGAGCACCACCTCAGAGTTAGCGAAAATGTCTCACCATCAGAGACGAGCGAGGGTCAACAGAGCCCGCTTCGTTCTCGGCAAGATAGCCAAGAATGAGGCTGAGGGCAAAACTGACCCTTGGGATGCCGAGGACAAGGCCAAATTCCTTGCGGAGATCGCGGAATTCGAGCAATACAAAGCGGCACAGGAAGTGAGCGAAAGCGCACCTAAGAAAGCGAAGGACCCATAGGGTAAGCCGCGTGCGACTAACTTTGTCAGCCAGGCAAAGAAGTTTAGCGAGGTGGCCAGAGACAGTCTGGCTATGGCACTGGTGGACGAGCTCCATGACGACGGTCGCCTGCTGTCGGAGAAGTGGGAGGAGATCGAGGCCAAGTTGGCCGACATGGTGACCGACAGGTTGGTCAGCATGCCGACCGGCCCCATCCCCTCCTCCGACTCCTCAGACGTGGTCAGAGGGCACCGGGTCATCAGGTGCGACGACGGGTTCTCCCGAAGCTTCCTGGCGGAGTGTGTGGCTAAGATTAGCGACACATGGGCTGGCCTTAAGATTAGGCTAGTCCACGCCAGGGAGATCCCAAGGAGATCCAGAGCTCTCATCTGGTTGCCTAAGGGCCAAACTGACCATGCAAGGGTGATTGCCTGTCTGAAGGCCCAGAACCCAGATATACATACAGAGGACTGGACCATCCTCAGGGCAGAGTAGGTAATGAAGGCGAGCCAGCCTTTCCTCCTGCTGATTAACCAGCAATGTCTGCCCCAGCTGGAGGCAAACGACCACAAGGTCCGGTACGGCATCAGGAAGGCCAAGATTAAGGTCTTCTTGGCCGAGCCGGACGAGATTCTGGAGGAGGTCGATGACACCAACAAATTGTTGGACGACATGGTCATCGACGACAAATCTCCTGACGCCACCCCACCAACATCGATGTCGAAAATCGTGCAGATTAACCTGAAGCGCAGCTCGCACGCTTCAGCTAATCTCACGATCCTTCTAAGGGAGAGGGATATCGACATCGGTCTGATTCAGGAGCCTTGGACCAGGGACGGGCAAGTCGCTGGACTGAGAATCCAAGGATACACACTACTGTGCACAAACTCGAATGGTAGGTCGAGAGCTTGCATTGTAATCAAGAATCAATTTAACGCTTTTCTCTGTCCCAATCTCAGCACACCTGACCTAGCAGTGGCCAGATTCGTGGCGGCGGATGGGAGCGGAGTCACCATATCATAGGCTTACATGGCCCATGACGAGCCGGCCCCGCCTGAGCCGGTAGTAAAGCTGCTGCAATGGGCGGAAGCGACGAAGACGCCCCTGGTGCTCGAGTGTGATGCGAACGCGAGGCACACGCTCTGGGGTAGTTCGGAGACTAATGAAAGAGGTGAGTCACTCTTTGACAATATAATATGTAGAAATGTAACGATATGCAATAAGGGTAATACCCCGACCTTTATCTTTCCGAGCACGGAAAATTTTTAAGGTTGGGAAGAGGTGTTAGACCTCACATTACTTATAGAACAAAATAATTACAGGGTCGAGAACTGGAGGGTATTAACGGAACACTCCTTCTCAGAACATAGATACATTTTCTTTGATATAACGACACCAGTTAAGAAACAGGTGCCATAAAGAAACCCCCGTAAGACGGATTGGAACAATTTCAGCGAAATTGTCCGATCTAAAGTAAACGGCAGGAGGATCAAGACAATATCCACTGCAAAGGCACTCGACAAGGAGGTTGAGGACCTAACGAATATTCTGAACAACGCCTTCAAAGAGACTTGTAAGCTAACATTCTCGAAGAAGCAATACCCACCGTGGTGGGCAAAGGAATTAAGCGAGCTCAGGAAGAGCGCGAGAAAGTCCTTTAAACACAGCTATGCAACCCGGGATTGGGGATCATACAAAGAGGCACAAAAAATTTACAAGAAGGCAGTATACAAGAAAGAGTCGTGGCAAAACTACTGCGAGTCACTGGAAAGCATAAAGGACGCGGCGAGAGTAAGCAAAATCCTCGCCAAAGGTCACATAAGCCCTACCCTGATCAACAGGACAGACGGCTCTGCTACGACAACAATTGAGGAGTCACTAGAGCTACTAGTTGACACCCACTTCCCAGGAAGCCTAAGAGTGAGCTCGAAACCCGAGAAGGGAACGAGCTCTCAAATGGATACCTACGAAAGACATCATTACCACTGAGCGAATCCAGTGGGCAATAGATTCTTAATACCGGCAATGCTACAATCAGCTAAGGACAATATTTGCAAATGGCTAAAAGCTATTTACGAAGCTTGTTTAAGACTGACGCACGTCCCACTGCTGTGGAGAGAGGCTAAAGTCATTTTTATACCGAAACCGGGCAGAAGGGGGCACATCCTAGCAAAGGATTATAGACCGATAAGTCTTACCTCCTTCACCCTGAAGACACTAGAGAGACTCCTGGACCTCCACATCCGAGAGTCTCTAGAAGGGCATCAACTCTCGGATGCGCAGCATGCGTATCGCAGAGGAAAATCTACGGAAACAGCGCTACACGTAGTTGTACATCATATCGAGAAGACATTACAATACAAACAATACACGATGACAGCCTTCCTAGACATCGAAGGCGCGTTCAATAACGTGAACTCCGACTCTATCCTGGGCTCCCTCAACTTGCTAGGTATTGAGAGAGGCATCAGAGAGTGGATCGGAGTCATGCTAAAGAGCAGGACGATCACAGCCGAACTGAGTGGCACTCACCTCACGCGGACTGTGAAGAGAGGCACACCTCAGGGCGGGGTACTATCGCCCCTACTCTGGCTCACAAATATGAACGCCATATTGACAGATCTCAATACGGGTGGAGTCAAAGCAGTTGCATACGCGGACGACGTAGTACTGCTAGTATCAGGACCATACCCTGACGTTATTAGCGAAATAATGACGGGTGCGCTAGGTCGTTTAAACAAATGGGCAGAAACCTGCGGACTAGGTATAAACCCCACTAAAACGGAACTTATGCTCTTCACACGTAGAACTAAGATACCACCCTTCAACATGCCCAGTATAAACAACATGGAGCTAAAACTAGCGGATCGAGCGAAGTATCTAGGAGTAATTCTGGATAAAAAGCTCTCATGGAAAGAAAACATTGCAGAAAGAGTAGGGAAAGCAAGCATTTCATTTCACTCCTGCAGGAAAATTTTTGGGAAGAAATGGGGACTGCACCCAAAGATAATTTTATGGCTCTACACAGCAGTTGTACGGCCAATACTAACATACGGAGCCCTAGTAAGGTGGCCGGCACTAACTAGCGCTTACAACAGAACGAAGCTGACAAAGATACAACGGGCAGCGAGTGCGGGGGCCGTGGGTGCATTGCGCTCATGCCCCGCGGCTGCTCTCAACGCTATCCTAGATATAATGCCGATAGAGCTGTTCGTGAAGGACACTGCGGCACAGAGCGCAGTAAGACTGAAGGCGAGCAATTGCTGGAGGGACTACGGCGCCGGGCACGGCAAGATCCTTGCAAACAGCGGCATTAACACAGACGTTAAGACCGACTACATGATCGCGGAAATGAAATTCGGGAACGCATTCTCGACATCATACATCAAGGGATGACTGGAGTAGGGGCAGAGTAGTAGTGGAGAACGAGGTGTCCCTCTACACAGATGGCTCAAAAATGAGCTGCGGCGTAGGGGCAGGGATCTTCGCTGAAAATTGGGGAATTGAAAAGGCTTTCAATCTCTCCAACTCAGCGACGGTCTTTCAGGCTGAGTTACTAGCCATAAGGGAAGCAGTCAAACTTTCCTTAAGGCAGGACCTCAGGGGCAAAAGAGTTCGAATCTACTCGGATAGCCAAGCGGCTATAAAATCCCTATCTGCCGTTAAAACAAACTCACAACTAGTGGCAGAACGCAAGAAGGCCCGTAACAGACTTGCCGAAAAAAAAATAAGGTACAAGTAACATGGGTACCGGGACACAACGAGATATATATTATTATAGCTAGTAAAGAATGTATTATATATTATATAGCTAGTAAAGAATGGCAAAGAAAGAGCGATCACAGAAGGTCAAGGGAATGTTGCCGAGGTACGACAAGAAACGAACCAGGGAACTGCTATCCAACAGCAAGCGGGATATCAGCAGGTTCACGGCACTCACCACGGGACATTGGGCGATCGGTTCGCACGCAATGAAGTTGGGACTGCCATACAACGCAATCTGTAG